TTATTTTGTAAATCAATTGTTTAGTGCCTTAGGATCATGTTAAAAGCTGTAAAGGTATACTTTGTTACTTATTAATTCAGATCACACTCCGGCAGCCCAACGCTCAAACCTGGATGTAGCGAGTCAGTTGTTACTGCTTACTACTTCACCCTTTAATGCTTCACTGAAGACACCAAAATGATAGTATCAATCATTGATGATGAAAAAAACTTACCTTTGACAATACTGATGAGATGAGGAGACCGGTATGTTTAAGCTGGAGGCAAGGAAAGTAGACGTAGGATCCTTCTTCGGTTACCAGACTTTATCGATAAATTTTTCTGTATAGTGTTACATTTAAAACACACAGGATTTTAAAATAACATAAGTTAATAAAACGTGGAAACGTTCTGAATGATATTGAGATGTTTGTTGAAGAGTTAAGAATGATTTACACGCATTAAGAGAACATCCATGGTTTGAGCGCTGAACTGCCGGAGTGTGATCTGAATTAATAAGTAACAAAGTATACCTTTACAGCTTTTAACATGATCCTAAGGCACTAAACAATTGATTTACAAAATAATCTTACCTTCAAATAGTGACGAAAAAGTAAAAACTCATGAAAATGGCCAAATATTGAGCTAATGCCCATGTCTGTTATCACTAAGCAGATGTAAACAATCGCCCATTGACTACAGTCTTCCTTCAAAATAGGGTTTATCCCGTCGGTTCTTATTTATCTAATGAAGGTTTTAACCATTTAAACGTACGAGGAATCCATTCCTGCTTTCCATTTTGATCAAAAAATTATCGATTGACTCGAAATTTGCATTTGAAAAGCGGCTGCCATTTCCTTACGGGAAAATACATTGTAAGTGATGAAGAAACCAGGTCTGTCATATCATTTCACGTCACAAGCACAGAATACATATGGCTCCACCAATCACAAGTGTGGCGGTTGAAAAACAACCGTTTTGAATGGGTCGGTTCCAAAAACAGCTTTTTTTGAGTTTGAGAGGTCATTTCAAGGTTTTTTAGTAGCGCCATCGTTCTTTTCGTAAAATTTGCCATAAGAAGCAGCCATCAATTTGCAAATCCCCGCACCTTGCAACAGGCCCATTGGGATTATTTAAAAATGAATTTTCCTTGGAAAATTTGATTGTCTGGAAATTAATGCATGATTGAGAAAAACCAAAGTAATTCTTGAATTTAGGAGCTGAAGATTATGGCGTCATTTCCGTAACCCTGAGAAATAAAAATATATTTATCGAAAGAAAAAAAAAATATTTCTCAAGAAAAAAAAATATATGTAGAAATTATTTTTCACCCGTAGAAATATTCCTGCTACTTCGAATTTTTTTTTTTTTTTGCTTTGGAGAAATATTTTTTTTATCTCAGAAAAAAAATTCGCCGTAGAAATATTTTCACCGCTCCTGACAAAAAAAAATCTCGAGAGAAAAATATATTTCTCAGGAAAAAAATATATCTCTGAAAAAAAATTATTTCTCAGAAAGAAATATATTTCTCAGGAAATAAAATATTTCTCAGAAAAAAAAATATATTTCTGCGGAACGGAGTGTTCACTGCTGCCAGCTTGTGCAGGCCGCTGGAAATGTTTTCGACAAGGAACGTGGGATGTGGATCGATGGGTGGATCTAGAGTCCCTTTATACTGAGAGTCAAGACAATTTGAATCCATTTCTGATTGGTTCCCGTATTTTAGGCCTCCACAGTGTCACAAATGGGAATAAAGATTACGTTTTCACCAATTGCAAAGATTATAATCTGGAATGGACCAGGGAATTACGGGTTCGGCAAGGAACAAACGGAATGAGAGGAGGAACGGAGAAAGGCATTTAAGAACGGGCCGATCAAAGATTACGAAAAACGTTCAATTTCTGTAATCTTTATTCCCGTTTGTGACATCCATGAGCCGAATTGCCTTGACTCTCAGTATAAAGGGACTGTAGGTGGATCGTGGGATGTGGCGCGAAGAGTTGAATCTTTCGCGGGAAACTTCCGGCCGGACGTAATAATTGCGGAATAAAACGTCCGCGTTTATTCCGGGGAAATTAGGATTTTTTCAGCGATTGCATGTCCATCCGGGCAAATTATTTTCTCATAATCAGTGCGATGAAGCCAAAAGACACCATTACACATTCTTTCAAACAAGGATAACTAGGAAATAAAAAAGAATGAATGGAAAGTTTTGATACATCACGCTTCTCTGCATGCTGATCTTTGTCCGGAATTTGAGTTTTGGCAATAAGGAATAAAATTGAGAAGTCGCAGAGTTCTTTAAACAATGTCCTGATGGATGAATATATCTTTCTTTTCAAGAAGACTATCGTAAATGAAGAGAATGTTATAAAACAATTTCTGAAAATCCTTCTTTTCAA